ACCATTCTTCCTTCTATTTTCATGAGATCCCCCTTTTTATTGTTTATTTTTCTCTAATTTCTGCATATAAAACATTTTTTGACCCTTAACTTTCTGAATCTAGCTACTTTCACTTAGCATGATGCTCTCCAGTTCCACCCATTTACCAGCAAATGACATATTATTCTTCTTTACGGATGAGTGACATTCCATTATATGTATGTGTATCTATAGCCATACCTAAACCTATACCTAGATGTATATCTATCTCCCATTTTATTTAAATTTTTTTTTTCTGCTGAGGGACACTAAGGCTGTTTCCATAACTTGGCTGTTGTGAATTGCATTTCTATAAAAGTTGGTGTGCGTGTATCACTATAGCATGCTGACTTTAGAATTATTGTTGTTGTTGTTGTTGTTTTGGATAAATACCAAAGAGTGGACTAGCTCGGTCATATAGTGGTTCTAATCCTAGTCTTTTGAGGAACCTCTATATTGGTCTCCAAAGTGGTTGTACTAATTATGGTTCCATCAGCAATGTGTAAGTGTAGCCTTTCCCCCAAATTCTCATCAGCAATTATCATTATTTCTATTCTCGTCAACTGCTATTCTAACAGGGGTGAGACCAAGCTTAGTACAGTTTTGATTTGCATCTCCCTGATTCCTAAGGATATTGAACATTTTTTTTTTGTATATTTGTTGGCCATTTGTATTTGTTCTTTTGAGAAGTCTCCATTCAGATCATTTGCCCATTTACTGAGTGGGTTATTATTATTATTATTATTATTATTATTTTTGGTGTTAAGCTTTTTGAGTTCTTGATATATTCTGATTGGAAGCCTGGCTGGGAAAGATTCCACCTGCGCCCAGCCCTCCATCCCAATCTGTAGGTTCTCTCTGCCATTCTTAACTATTTCCTTTGTGGTACAGAAAAATTTTAATTTAAGGCCATACAATTTATTGATTTTTTGGTTTTATTTTTTGAGCTCTTAGGAATCTATTTATTTATTTATTTTGGSCGGGGAGTTTTTTATTTTTCACTAGAGCATTATAATTATACATAGTATTTGGGTTCATTTTGACAAAATCATACATGCAAGAATTTTTAAAAAATTTTAGTTGTGGTTGGACACAATACTTTATTTTTATTTAATTATATTTATGTGGTGCTGAGATTCAACCCAGTGCCTCACAGGTGCTAGGCAAATGCTCTGCCACTGAGACAGTACCCCAGCCCAATGCAAGGAATTTGATTTCAATCCCCATCCCCTCTTCTTTCCTCCCCTCCTCCCTCCTGAACATAAAGGTGAAATTTCCTTGAATTGAAAGATTATTTGAAGCCGTCTCTTCCCCTGAAGTCCATTCTGTCATTTTAAATTTCACCATTGATGGTGCTTTTTTTTTTGTAGTTGAATATTAACTCCATAAGATCCCTGTTGGRTTGAGCCAGTTTGGGGGTTGGGTTGTGGTAAAGACATGTCAGGGGGCTGGGGATGTGGCTCAAGCCGTAGTGTGCTCSCCTGGCAATGCGTGGGGCGCTGRGTTCGATCCTCAGCACCACATAAAGATAAAATAAACATATTGTGTCCACCTAAARCTAAAAAAATAAACATTAAAAAAGAAGACATGTCAGTACCCATTAACCTGGCACAGCTGGGAGCCTCTGAGGAACAAGCTGTYTCCTTGGAAGGCAGTGACACAAGAAGGCATCGTATTAAAGATGGGGAATAATTAAGAAAACATGGAGCCTAAAGCATTTTTTTTTTTCCTGGAAGAGCAGGTTCTTGTAGGGCCTCATAAAGACAGGGTGCTTCTGGGCCTAGGTGCAGTGGTTTTATATATATATTTAGTTGTAGATGAACACACAATATCTTTATTTATTTTTATGTGGTGGCTCAGGATCAAGCCCAGTGCCTCACACATGCAAGGCAAGTGCTTTGCCACTGAGCTGCAGCCCCAACCCAGGTGCAGCATTTTTAAGGAGTCCTATTAAGGGAATTGGTGCTTGCACCCGTATGCTGGAGTGTTGACCCTGTGTTTTTTTTTTTTTTTTTTTCTAGCAATTTCAACGTTTCTGGTCTAATTCCTAGGGCCTTTGATCCACTTTGAGCTGATTTTTATGCAGGGTGAGATAGAGATATGGTTTCATTCTTCCACATAATGGATATCCTGTTTCCCCAGCACCCTTTGTTCAAAAGACTTTTTTCCAAGGCTCATGTTTGGGAATCTTTGTCAAGGACCCCATGACTGGATGCTGTGTGAATGAATGAATGTATCACAATGAAGTTCAGTTTTATGTATAAGGAACCAATTAAAAAACAAAAAACAGACAGAAGGAAGACTAGTAGAGGAAGAGAACCGGGGGATGGAGAGGGGAAGGGATAGGGAAAATACTGGGGATGGAAATGGAGCAAATTATGTTTACAAATAAGGAAATCCTGTTGTCTGAGGTGTCCATCACTGGGGGACATTATGTTAAGAGAAATAAGTGGGGCACAGAAGGACAAATACTGCATGATCACACTTATGGTAAGTGGATTGTGCAAGTGTCACACTCATTCAAATAAAGGGTAGACTGCACACTACCAGAGGCTGGGGGAACTGGGGAGATGTTGGTCAGAGGATACAAATTTCAGTGAGGCAGGAAGAATAAGTTCSAGAGACCTTCTGTTCTTCCTGGAGACTACAGTTACTAACAATATATGGCACAGGGAAAAATAGCTACGAGAGGTGATTTTTATGGGTTCCCACCATGAAAAAGTGAGAAGTGTGTGAGGTAATAATGAGCTTGATTTAGCCATTTCACAACGTATTCAGACATCAACACATTATGCTGCATGTACAACTTCACTTGTCAATTAAAAGATAAATTAAAAAATATATATGTAAAAAAAAATTCACTGGGCACCTTGTGTGTGCTGAGGGATATTCCAGGCATGGATGATGACGTGGCATCTTAAACAGGAACACAAGGTTGCTATGCTCCTGGACATCCACAGGGAGAGACATATTAACAAAAAAATAGGGTGAAGTTAGGTAGATGAGCAATGATTGACATAAAGCAGTGTGATATTTTAGAAAGTGCTGGGAGATTATTTTAGATGCATGGTCAGGAAATAGACATGGTCCTGCTTTGTTTCTGGTATAGACCCTGAAAGAAGCAGAGGGAGGTATGGCAACAGGGGGAGCAGGTGGTGTTCAAAGAACCTGTACAGGAATGAGCTCAGGGGACAGCACAGAGGCTGATCAGGGAGAGCAAGGGGCAAGGGGAAGAAGTCAGATAATGGGGGGGGGGACCACAGGGTTTGCGGCTGAGTGGGCCAGGATGGAGACTGTGGTGTCATTCTCAGTGACATGGGGACATTGGAGGGCTTGGAGAGGGTCAGGGATATTAACTAAATGACACTTAAATAGGATTGCTATGGCTTGGAGAATGGCGAAACCGTATCAAGAGGCATAAGAGTAGAAGCAGAGAAGTCAGTGAGGAGGCTTTGCACAGATCCATGCAAGATGTTTTTAAAGTAAACTTATCAATTTCTATTTTACTTTATTTATTTATTTATTTTTKGGTACTGGGGATCCAACCCAGGGGCACTTAACCACTGAGCCACATCCCCAGCCCTTTATATATTTTATTTTGAAATAAGGTCTCGCTAGGTCACTTAGGGCCCCACTAAGCTACTAAGGCTGTCTTTGAACTTGCAATCCTCCTGCCTCAGGCTCCCGAGTCCCTGGGATTATAGATGTGTGCTAACACGCCTGGCCATTTTTATGATTCTTTGAGTCAAGTTTTTTCTTAATGTTTAACTCATCCTAAAATGTGCCCAACTTAATGAATTTCTACAAACAGCACACTTATATCATTGACTTACAGATCAAGTAACAACAGGGCTGGTCCCCAGAAAACCTTCTTCTTGTCCCCTTCCAGTCACTACCTTTCCACTTATTCTGACACTCTGGGTTGGTTTTCTTTGTGACTTTGAACTTCATGTAAATAGATGTAAGTGTAAAATCACTTTTCTTTTGTGACTGGCTGCTTCCATTCAATGTGTCTGTGAGTTTTCCAAAGTTATTGGTAGTAGCTGTAGTTTGTTCTTTGTCAATGCTGCATAATGTTCAATTGTTGGAAATTGTCATTGGATTTATTCTGTATCTACACTGATAAACATTGTGTCAAGCAGTCTTCTATGAATGTTGTGGTTGATATTTTTGATGAACATGTTTGCTGGGCAAGTATTGAGGGATGAAGTTGCAGAGTAGGCATGTGATCAACTTTAATAAACAAAGTTTTCCTCCATAGCTGAATTTTCTACATCTACAGGTCCATTAAATTGTGGATTGAAAATACTTGAAAAAAGTTGTGTTCATTTTGAATATGTAATGACATTTTCTCTTGACATCATTCCCTAAGCAATACAACCTATTTATGTAACATTTGCATTCCATTAGGTATATGTCATCTAGAGATGACTTAAGTATATAGAAGGATGAAAATATACACAAGTATTATGTCATTGTATATTAGGGACTTGAGCATCTCAGGGTTTTGGTATTACTCAGAGGTCCTGGGACCAATTCCCATAGACGCCAAGGGGGTAATGGCACAGCCCAGCAATTTCCCAAGCTGTACAGATATGATGGCTTTTACCATTTCATGAGCATCATTAGAAGACCCTTCACATCTGCCAAGTGGGTGTGTCAGAGTCGTCCTCTTAGGAAATGGTCAGGAGGCGGAAAGCAGTTGGGTCACAGAAACATTCTTTGAGAGGCGCAGGAGATGTGGCCAGACTCAAGGGTACAAGCAGGATGGCATTAGAAATACTGAARCATGTGGATGCTTAGGGCCCAGCCAATCAGAGTGGACCTGCCTGGACTGTGCATTGACCCTTTAGTGGCTGGAACCTGAGGGAGGAGGGTCTTGTGGGAGACACCTCTGGACCAATCTGCATSTAAGCATTTCATGGTTRACAACGGAGGTGTGCACGGACTAACATCAACCCTGGTGTGGATGTGCTTGGCAGCTTCGAGAGAAATATGGGGATGTGTTCACCGTGTACCTGGGACAAAAGCCAGTGGTCATGCTGTGTGGGACAGAGGCCATACGGGAGGCCCTGGTGGACCAAGCTGAGGATTTCTCTGGCCGGGGGAAAATATCTATAGTTGATCCAGTCTTCCAGGGATACGGTGAGGACCTAGAAGTCCCTGGGATGGGGTGGGATAGAAGATGGGACCTGGGGAAGGGGAGTCTGAGAAGGGAGGAAAGGGGTGGGGACAGAGCCAGACTCCTTCCAACTTCCTCGCAACCTGCCTCTCCTACATACCCAGGTGTGATCTTTGCCAATGGAGAACGTTGGAAAACCCTTCGGAGATTCTCTCTGGCCACCATGAGGGACTTCGGGATGGGAAAGCGRAGCATTGAGGAACGGATTCAGGAGGAGGCTCAGTGTCTGGTGGAGGAGCTGAGGAAATCCAAGGGTGAGGCCTAGGGATGCACAGGAAAAGAAAGAAGTGGAACAGAGAGGGATGTGGGGTGCACAGCAACAGAAAGAGAGGTATGCATGCACAAAAAGATAGTAATGATGCAGAAACAGAAAGAGAGAGAGAGAGAGAGAGAGAGAGAGAGAGAGAGAGAGAGAGAGACTGAGAGGCAGGAAAAAACAAAGCAGAGAGAGAAACCGAGTCAGAAAATTAGAAGGACGGACAGACAAACCTCAGAGAAAAGTCTGCAGAGGAATGAGAGAAAACAGGTGAGACCCAAAGAGAGGGGTAGCATTCATCTGAGGTTCCTGGGCTCCCAGCCCCCTCCCTCCCAGTCTCAGAGACCAGCACTGCACCTGCCAAGCACAGGCCCCAGGGAGCAAGTGAAGAATGATTCAAGCAAGACCAGAGAGCCCTCGGGGTGCAGAGAAGACACTACCTGGGTGTGGGAGTGAGGGGTGCAGCCATTGGGGCTTCTAAATCTGCACAAGGCATTGATGGAGCTCAGCTCTGCAGCCCTGCCCCAAGGACTTGACTCTAGGAGGTCACACAGTCAGAGATGGGTCCCAGAAGAGAGGCAGGGTAGTGGCCAACAGCACTGGCTGAATTCTGGGTCTGAATTCTGCCCTTGTAAAGAGAAACTACTGTGAATAAATTATTGAACCTGTCTGTCCATCTACAGTGTGTGGGGGATAATAGTAGAATTGTATTTTTTTACTATGTTCTGGTGAAAACTAAATATGCAAAGGGCTTGGAATAAAGCCTGATACAGGCTGTGCTAGCAAGTGGGTGCTGTATGGCTATTCTTACCTTTTATTACTGAGCAGCGGTGGACAATCCCAGAGAGACGGGCAACAGCCAATTGTCCCCAGGCTCTGGAATCTGTGACCTGTGACTTGCCCCCTTCTCATCCTAGGGGCCCTCGTGGACCCCACCTTCCTCTTCCAGTCCATCACCGCCAACATCATCTGCTCCATCGTCTTTGGAGAACGCTTCGACTATAAAGACCGAGAGTTCCTGCGGCTGCTGGACATGTTCTATCAGTCATTCGCACTGATCAGTTCCTTCTCTGGCCAGGTCTGGGAAAGGAAGGAGGCTGGGGGTGAGGGGAACAGTCAGGGTCATGGGAAAGCATGGTCTGCTTTTGGGGAACAGAAGTGCACCTAGAGTTGGAAGAAAAGTAGATGCCACATGGAGGGACAGGGATGTGAGATGTGGAGGGAGGGAGAGACCGTGAGCAAAGATCAGAAACAGAGTCCCAGAGAGACTAAGAAGAGGAGGGCTTGGAAGAAAGAAGAGAGGAAAAGAGAGAAGACAGAATAAGTCAAAGGTTTGGGGGGAGAGAGAGATTCCCCCTAGAGGTGTTGGGCCCCTGGATGTCTACTCCCCCCACCTGCTAGCTCAGTCCTTGGGGAGAACTCACTGCCCCTTCCTTCTTGCAGGTGTTTGAATTATTCTCCGACGTCCTGAAGTACTTTCCGGGCACCCACAGGCAAGTCTACGAGAACCTGCAGGAGRTCCTCACCTTCATCGGCCACAGTGTGGAGAAGCACCGAGCAACCCTGGACCCCAGCGCCCC